AACATACTTTGTATGGATTTGGGTATGGTTATAAATTGGCTCTTAAAAATTATGTTCGACTATATGAACGAGATAAAAAAAATCTTCACAATGCAACTATCATAGAAAACAATATTAAAGCTAAACATTATTCTCTTATCGTTTTTGGATCGATACTTCGTAATAACATATTATTTTCATTAGCTATAAAACATTATGAACGATCCAGAATCGTTCTCATTGATGGTGAAGATGAAATAAAACACAAAGATCGATCTGAATATGCAAAATGGGGAACCTACTTTCTTCGAGAAATACCAGACAATTGTGATGCATTTATGTAACACACAAATGACGGATATTCAAGAAACAATATTTTTTGTTATTACTTATTTATTCTCTGAAAAATTAAATTGTATTTAATGCTACATACTCCCAACGGATATGAAATTTCAGATGCCAAGATAATCTCCAGTACAGAAAAATTAATCATTTTGTGGGTGTTGGTGGGCGTGGGTGTGTGGGGGTGCGGGGGTGTGGGTGGGTGTGGGTGTGTGATGTGGGTGTAGGTGAGGGGCTTCTTTTCGTCTACACATCCACACCCACACCCTCTTTCCTGGTGATATTGTATAAAGCGTGATAAGCGAATTGAATTACTTTATAGCCTAATTCAAGAGGAGGTCCAAACACTGGATGACGCATAAGATTACAAAGTAATTCAAAAAAAATGAACTACAAAATAATTCAAAATTTTTATATTATCTATATATATATAGAAGTATATATATAATTATAATAAGTTTATTAATATCTACCAGGGTCTACCAGAGTCTACAAGGTTTACCAGGGTCTACCAGGGTCTATAAGATTTACCTGAGCCTACCAGGGTCAACCAGGGTCTACAAGGTTTATCACGGTCTACCAGGGTCTACCAAGGTCTACAAGGGTCTACAAGGTTTACCAGGGTCTACCAGGGCCTACAAGGTTTACCAGGGTCTACAAGGTTTACCAGGGTCTACCAGGGTCTACCAGGGTCTACAAGGTTTACCAGGGTCTACCAGGGTCTACAAGGGTCTACAAGGTTTACCAGGGTCTACCAGGGTCTACAAGGTTCTACAAGGTTTGCCAGGGTCTACCAGGGTCTACCAGGGTTTACCAGGGTCACGATGTGGGTGCCGCGAAACGACTTACATCACATCTCTCTCGATGTGGGTGCCGCGAACTCCTGGT